GGGTCAACAATACACTATTTTCTTATCTGTGAGAGGTGACGGAGTGCCTGAAGGGCCTGTGGGAGGCACTCTAGTGCATAAGTAGCTGCCAGAGTGCCAAAGATATAACTACCACCTCAAGACTTAACAACCTTGTTAGCGTGTTACTGTAGGCCTATACATCCGGCTTGATATCTAGGCCTAACCCCTTAGTCGTAAGCCCTGTGCACCAGTTGATCGGCTGGGGCCCAAGAGCCGGAGCTCAACCTTCGACGAACAACTAGGTGGGTACAGTAACGGTAATTACAACAGATTCTAACGGAAGGGCAATTAGACTTGACCTAGTTACTTAGCCGTCAAACTTGACCTTACTTTGCCCATACCCTTCCCCCCCCCCATCGTGCCCAAAGCCCCGGGCATAAGACCTCGGGGTATCGAGATGGCCCCGGGGATCAATGGGAACCCGGTTCCTCTAATGATATCAAGAGCATTTAAAAAAACCCAGTTAAACTGGCAGGAAGTGTTTGGCAAGTTTGTTTATATATTGGTCTATATATATGCGGCCGGGGGACCTGGCGGGCTCAGTGCACCCCATCACCCCGAGCGGCTCTGTACGGCCGCCCCGTCCCATCCCCATCCCCCATCCCGCAAGCTGTTTACTATGCCAGGGTCGCTGACCTAAACAAACACATCACATGCAAAGAAATGTAAACACACCGTGAATATATTTGTTAAAGTATCTCCGGTTTAACAAATATTCAAAAGAGGCGCCAACTCGGGGCAAAATTTAAATTTAACCGCCAATAAATGTCATGCAAGAGGTACGATAATTCCCGCTCTGTGACGTTACATAAAGGTCCAGTGGGTATTTTTTAGGACTAACGTATTAGTGCTTATCTACTAAGTATCTTTGTTGTACCTGTTGCGTTATAATTTCAATATTCTGACGTTTGAATTCTTCTGTCGAATCTGGCTTTAAAGTTGTGGATGGAGGAAGCTTCCACAGTGGAGACATGATCACCCCATACAAGATTCTCAGAGGAATAGGGTAGATAAAGAGGTTTGTTTAACACCAGGGGCACACGCACTAGGGGACACAGGTGGAAACTGAGTACCCAAACTAGCCATAGAGACATTAGAAAAAACTTTTTCAGTGTCAGAGTAGTTAACTATCGGAATGCATTTGCTAATACCACAATGTCAACACTTGTTAACTAGCCGTAAATGGTACGAGTAATTCCTTACAATTCGTCGACTAATTTGCGTTTCCAGCTTCCACCTGTGTCCTACTTTTTCTCCCATTAAAGAGGGTGTCATTATTCACAGTGTCTATTTCCCCCCTCAGTATCTTGTATGATGTGATCATATCTCCTCTGTTTCTTCTGTCCTCCAGACATCTCCTCCTGGCTCTGGAGGGTTATAATCTTGTTGCAATTCCAGGCCGGTGCTGCATATTCCAGCATAAGTCAAGCTAAAGTAGTGTAGATGTCCTTGAAACCGTCCTGCTCCTGACGGCGCAGTCTGGCGTAGCAATCACAGTTCGCTTGATCCTCCCCCCACAATTAACATCGAAATATTTGAGAACAGTTCAAAGCTCAGCTCTTGGTGATGGGAACAAATACGTGAAGCCTGCTAGGCTACTGGCACCCTAGGTGGGCCGGAGCCAAGTAGCTACCTGGCCTGAGCCCCTGGTAGTCCATGCGATCAGTAGCTCACACTAGATGTACTACAATGATATCCTCAAGCACACAGGAGCACATAAAGTACCTCCAGGTACCTCATACCTGGAGCCCCCAATTAGCTGGGTGTGTGGGTGTTTTGTGGAGGTGTGAGGATAGAGAGAGAATACTGGTTTAGGGCATTTTAGCGGGTAGTGCGAGGGACCTTAGTGGAGACAGTGGAGAGAGTGAGAGAGAGAGAGAGAGAGAGAGAGAGAGAGAGAGAGAGAGAGAGAGAGAGAGAGAGAGAGAGAGAGAGAGAGAGAGAGAGAGAGAGAGAGAGAGAGAGAGAGAGACAAACACCACAGCAAGTAACGGTGGACAAACATACCAAAACTAATCCACTTTGTCGCTACAGCGTTGCCAGTAACGTTCCACCAAAGACATTCTTTGTTACTGGACATTCACTACAATGGTAGATTAGTCGTGGGTGTTTCTTAGGGGGGTTGCCCACTGGAGGTGGGGCAGGTGGGCATGGAGGTGTGCTTATACCTCCAGACTACACTGAACCAGGTACACTGAGACCATGAGTGATACAGAGCCCAATAGCCTCAGGAACCTGTACACCAGTTGACTGACAGTTGAGAGGCGGGACCAAAGAGCCAGAGCTCAACCCCCGCAAGCTTGTAATGAGGGAGAATGGCTCAGAAGGAAGGAGGAAAGAAGGAGAAGAGAGCAAATGGTAGGGAGAAGTGTGAACAATGTCATTATAAGTGTGATATTAGCGTGACAACTGCAGGTTCGAATCCTGCAGAACACACATCAAAGGTCACCTTCACGTTGCCTCAAGCTCCAGACACCCGTGGCTCCAGACACCCGTGGCTCCAGACACCCATGGCACCAGACACCCATGGTCCCAGTAAACTCACTTCTCAGGGGGCAAACCACATTAACCCCCAGGTACCTATTTAACTCTTAGGTGAACAGAGGTATGAGGTGAAAGAAAACGTGCCAAACTGGCCTACCCGAGGCTCGTAACCTGAGGTCACCTAATGTGTGTGAATGGAACCTGGGGCCAGATTTACGAAGCAGTTACGCAAGTACTTACGAACCTGTACATCTTTCCTCAATCTTTGACGGCTTTGGTTACATTTATTAAACAGTTTACAAGCATGAAAACTTGCCAGTCAACTGTTGTTATTGTTATAAACAGCCTCCTGGTGCTTCCGAGCTCATTAACTGTTTAATAATTGTAAACAAAGCCGCCAAAGATTGAGAAAAGATGTACAGGTTCGTAAGTGCTTCGTGAATCTGGCCCCCTGGTTCTTTACTGAAGGCGCCGTGATGATTTTAACGATATCGACCACGGATATCAATATATCGATATCAATATCGTCCGTATTTAAGAGATATATTAACAGTTATGTTGTGGCTTTTGGGAGTAAGTGATGATAGTAGATTAGATTGGCTGTCAATCTAATTACCCTTAGTAGATTAAATTAGTAGATTAGATTAGTAGATTAGATTAGTCTTAGTAGATTAGATTGGCTGCCTTGTTTTGTATAATGATTCTGGGTTTTTTAGACTTTGGGGGGGGGGGAGGTTATATCTTGAGGTTATCTTAAGATGAATTCGGGGCTTTAGTGTCCCCGCGGCCCGGTCCTCGACCAGGCCTCCACCCCCAGGAAGCAGTCCGTGACAGCTGACTAACACCCAGGTACCTATTTACTGCTAGGTAACAGGGGCATAGGGTGAAAGAAACTCTGCCCATTGTTTCTCGCCGGCGCCCGGAATCGAACCCAGGACCACAGGATCACAAGCCCAGCGTGCTGTCCGCTCGGCCGACCGGCTCCCCATGGAAGATCTTCATTATTCGGAGGAGAGAACTACATAATTCGGGTGAAATGAAGCCTAATCCTGTCTAATTTGCAGAATACAAAACAGATGAAGCCTGTTATGTAGGCTTGACTTCAAAGCTTGATGTCTCTAGGTGGGTAAGAACTCCTTCTTCTTAATTGTTCAAGTCTGGCATTTTAAGAGGGGGGGATATGCTGAACTTGTTCTCAAGAATGGTGTCCATCTGATACCTCCCCCTCTCCTTCCCCCGTCCCATCTCAAATCCTTATCCTGATCTCTTCCAAGGGTTCTGTAGTCTTGGCTTGGCGCTTTCCCCTGATAATTCCTCCTCCTCCTCCTCCTCCACCCAACCACTTGGGGTGGATGGTAGAGCGACGGTCTCGCTTCATGCAGGTCGGCGTTCAATCCCCCCCGAGACCGTCCACAAGTGGTTGGGCACCATTCCTTCCCCCCCCCCCCGTCCATTCCCAAATCCTTATCCTGACCCCTTCCCAGTGCTATATAGTCTAATGGCTTGGCGCTTTCCCCTGAAAGTTCCCTTCCCTTAACCCCCCTCCCCCTTCACCTGTCAATCATTTTCTCACTATCCTCTACAGTTACATCTTTTCATCCCCTCGTAGACCAGTCATGTCTTCCCTACGTCTCTTCTTGAGCCTAGCGACGCGTGCCAATCATGTCCAACAAGAGAGGAGGATGATTGATGAAGATTAAGCCACCCCAAAAGGTGGCACGGGCATGAATAGCCCGTACGCGGTGGCCCCTTTTGAGTCATTTTACCAGTATCAATAGATGATACTGGAGATCTGTGTGGAGGTGCGACTGCACCCTGCGTGACGGGAGATGTGTCTCCAGTGACAAGAGAGGATGTGTCGCAAGCTTCTCTAATCTCTAAGCTGCGCCCCGAACTTAGTCACTCCCCCCCCCCCTCCCCCCCCGAACATCTTCTTGAGGTTATCTTGAGATGATTTCGGGGCTTTAGTGTCCCTGCGGCCCGGTCCTCGACCAGGCCTCCACCCCCCAGGAAGCAGCCCGTGACAGCTGACTAACACCCAGGTACCTATTTTACTGCTAGGTAACAAGGGCATAGGGTGAAAGGAACTCTGCCCATTGTTTCTCGCCGGCGCCTGGGATCGAACCCAGGACCACAGGATCACAAGTCCCGCGTGCTGTCCGCTCGGCCGACCGGCTCCCTGCATGGCCACAAACTCAACCAAATCTAGATGCCTCGGGTTTATCTAAGCTCCCCAGCCACAGATATATATATACCCCCCAAACGCCTAGCCATATACATCACTACGGGCTCACCATAGCCCGTGCTACTTGGAACTTTTTGTGCCAGATAGAGAATTTTAAAACAACAGCCTAGCCATCACTACGGGCTCACCATAGCCCGTGCTACTTGGAACTTTTTGTGCCAGGTAGAGAATTTTAAAACAACAGCCTAGCCATAACTACGGGCTCACCATAGCCCGTGCTACTTGGAACTTTTTGTGCCAGGTAGAGAAT